GACTTAAGTTGGGCCATTAAAAATATGTCTTGTTCTGGTTTAGAAAGAGCTTGAAAAGATTCCCTTAATTCTGCAAATTGTTCTTTGGGAATTCTTGAAGAACAACCACAATCACAACCTTTTTCTAAAAACTCAATTGCTTTTTGATATTCATTAGAACCATTATACTTATTATTACTTTTCATATACACTTATCCCTATATATATAATTTTATAATGTTATGTTCACTTTGTAGTTTTTATTTTAAAAAGCTTTTATGAACTAGAAAATTAAATGTATTATTTATTAGATTAATAAGCAAAAAAAATATTAAATTTGTATATTTCATTCTTTTCTAGTTATTATTCATTATCAAAACAATTTAGCCAATCATCATTAGGAAACCACTGTAAAGTTAAAACTTTATCAAAATTACATCCTGGATAAAATAAATAGTGACATTAATAAAAAAAATCAGTTACCTTCACAAAAAAACCTTTGACAACTTTAAGTGTATCAAATGCATTTGGCCGTAGATTTATATTCTCTTGACACATTGATTGTGAAAGTGATAAAAGTTCTTCAGGCAATTCATTAATACCACTTGAAACAATCAAGTATCCAACACCCCAGATGTCAACTGTTACATCATGTACACCTATTAACATTTCAGGAGCATGATTATCTGGATTTAAGTTCTGTAAATTCTCATTTGAAGGAGAAAAGCTGGCAAAATCAAAGTCAATCAAAATATATTGATCTTCATATTGTATAACATTCGGCCATCGTATATCTCTATGCATAACTGGGTTAGGTTTTATATTATGCAAGCCCTAATTAAATATATATCTCATATTAGTTAATAATGAACATCAATATATATATATATATATATATCACTAAAAATGGTACCTCTAAACAGGTTAATATACAGATTATAGCTCTCAGTAATTCATTAAGATTTTTTGGTTTCTTCTCTTTTCCCCTTGGCATCAAGTGAACAACATTATCACGAGAACGAATTAATTTATCAATACATTTGATCTTGTAATTCTGTATGAAGTGTTTGTTAGAAATGTAAATTTGAAGACAGAAAAATGAAAAGATATTTTAAACTTACACTCATTAACCCATAAAAATTTTCCAGATGTTTAACTTTAGCTTCTGAGGGAAATGTTTTTTTAATATCATAGCCAATTTCGATATTAGTTCCATTATCACGTATTATGGTTTCAAAATCTGGCAATTCTTTTGAAGGACACATGTTAATTATCATAGGTAGTATGCAACCTAAGTTTTATAAAGTAAATTAGCATTCCTTATAAAGTTCAAAAATCAAAACATGAAAGGACTTACAAATATTTCTAATTAAATTCATTAACTTGAATCTATGTGTTAATTTGTTTAAATCAAATTCTGCAAGTCTCTCACTACAAATGTCTGGGCATTTTCTCTTTCGACTATTGATATTAATAGGTTCTTTTTCATTAATATAAAGAACACAAAAGGTAACAGCAGTGGTATTGGCATAGTATCCAAAGAGATATGGAGTGTCTCCATAATCCCAAGTATTGAATTTATCAATTAATTCCCTAGCAGGTTCTCCTCTTCCACCTTCTCCTTTCTCTTCTCCACGAACAACACAAATGTTTCTCATTAATAAGACAAAATCTGGTCGATTTAGACCTATAAAACTTTTCATTAGTACATGATATAATTCTACTTTTCAGTCAATTATTTAAATAAGTCTACCTGTTGTTGTGTTTCTAGAGGTATTACGATCAAAATCCATTGCTGGCATTTCATTAGAATATTTTCCAAATACTTGTAGTGACTTGCTAATAATAGCATCCCAAAAGGAGTGAAATGAATCTTCTGTTTTTCCTGTTGGAGGAGTGTCAATTAAGCTTGATATTAATCCAGTAAAAAATGCAGTACAACTTTCTGATTTGCTCTCTACAAAATATTTATCACGTTCTGTTGGGTCTATACTAAATGGTCCAATGACTGGAATTGAAGAGAAATTTTCCTTGGAAAGAGGGATTTTCACATTTGGTATCTTATTAAGAAAATATGTAAGTTGATGACGTTCAGGGATTTCATCTGGGGTTTGTAACCAATATTTCATGATTTTATTTGTGGGGTCTAAATACATAATAGGAAGACATGAATGCTGATTAATTTTTGATACTGCATTGTATCAATGGAGATTTTGACTTAGTTTCCAATAAATAGACAGAATGAAATATTTGGACTCACCTGAAATACCTTTAGAGAAAAAAAGATAGGCCAGAAGAAAAAAGCAAGTCAGTTAAAATTGTAAACAGTATACCAAATAAATAAATAAACGAAATGAAATGAATGGAAAATAATTTTTTGTATATTTTTTTTACGCAATTTGTTCATTACCTTCACCCCCAACAAATGCTTTCTGCAACATCTCCACCTGCTTCTCCCACCGAACTTTGCTCTCCACCAACTCCTCCTTTTCTTCGATCAATCTCTTTATTCGTCCTTCCCACCTCTCTTTCTGTTCTTTGTTCTTATATTCTTCGTTGTCTAATTTATCTTCTAAATCCTTCAACTTTACCTGCCACTCTTCCAAACTCCTTTCCGCCTTCACCAATCTCTCTTCCGCCTTCTTTAATTCTTGTTTAATATCTTCGTATGTTGTCATTTTTTAGAATTAAAAAAATTTCAAAATTTCAAAATTAATAAAAATAATTTTTTTTATTGATTTAGATCGTATTGTTACAATTTATGCATGATTTTGACCAATGATAAATTAGTGGGCACATGACTTGGAATTTATTTACGAAAGAAAAAGAAAATTATTTTTATTTTAATTCAACTAATAATAGAAAATAAATAATTTATAAAAATGTAAGTTGAAGAATTGTCAGAGTGCTTGCATGGGAGGAAAATACTTGGACCCAAAGCCATTTGTAAGTAAAGTATTACCTATTCTTTGGGCACTCTGACAAAAATTTAACTTTCACTATTACTACTATTATTATTGATATTATTACTAATATTTATATCCTCATTGTTTTTATTATTTTCTTCAACTTCATTCTCCATCTTTTTCTTCTTTCCTTTTCAACCCATTGCTGAATTGCTTCTGTTGTTTTCTTTCTGAGATTGGTTTTTCGTTGGTAGAAGTTTTTTATTGTAGAAGCAGCAATTTCCTTTCCCTCTTCAAGTAATTCATGAATTTCAATAGCCATTTCATTAAATGAAAAATTGGGATTCAACCCAGTCTTTTTGTCAAATAATTGTTTGAAAACCTTCCATAGATTTTTGATTTCATGTGAATATTTTTTATCATCAGTAAGTTGGTTTATTTTATTTTTGAAATGGCATTTTCTTGGTTCTATTTTATTGACTATTTGATCAATTTTTTGATTTATAATAGAGAATTGATTTTGATAAATTTTATAGTGAAATAAGAAACCAAGAAAGAGTCCAATTAACAACCCACAAAAAAACTCATTATTGAATGTAAGCATTTTTTTTAAATGTTATTATGGATGTAAATATTTATTGATTATTTGATTGTTTTTGAACCAAAAAAAAATTGTGTTTATTAGGAATTGTTATTTGAATATTTTTTTTTGCCCAAAAATAAATGTGTAAATGCTCAGATAATTATTACAATTATTGAACAATTTTTAATGAACAAGTAATTTAACTGTTGTAAAATTACAAAAGTTAAAGTGAATTAATTTTATATCTTTAAATATTAATTTACAATTGTTAGGAATATATAAATAAATAAAAGAAAAATGAATGAATCTAATATCTATATTTGTGGGTAAGCTTATAGACTTCCTGGAAAGTACAATCCATAATTGAAAGATAACTTCTTAAATAAATATAAAATAAAATAAACACAAATTCCACAAATAATATTATCCATGTTCATCCAGTGGAACAAAAATGAATTTCTCCACATTATGAATATGGTAATAGAATTTAGGGGCTGGTTGAATCTCCAAAAAAATCTAGGGATTGTTACAAAATGGACTAGTGATTCTTTTACAACAAGGCAGGATTATTTACCTCATTTGCATAAAAGAGAAAGTTTCTTTCTTGTATATAGTAAAAA